GGGTGGTGGGCAGCAGCTCTGAGGTTTCCAGAGGCGTCACAGAGGTAGGGAGAGTTGGGGACATGGTTGCTGTCACATCTGTGACACTGGTCTCTGCCACATCTGTGACAGTGGTGTCTGCAAAAAGAGAGAGTGAGATGCACAAGGGCTGGCTGTGACAGGCTGAGGCCATGGCTGTGCCAGGAACAGTGCAACACCAACAACACCATGAGCCCTCTGAGGGACCCAGAGCAACACATCAGCCATGGAGCATCAGCAGTGGGGATGCACTGTCCTGTATGGATTAAGTAAGCATGGGGATGCACCAAATGGGCATCAGGAAGGCAGGGCACGTAGATCCCCCAGCCTGAGAAAGCAGAAACAAGCCATGGGCATCACCAGTCTCAGGGCAGAAACTCTGGTAGGCGCCAACACTGAGACCCATTCCACCACCTTCACCCATCCCTGCAGGAAGTCAGACAAACCAGTCGGACGGGAAGAGCTGTGCAGGAACTGGTGACCGTGAGACAGTCTGGAACTGCAGCAGCAGCAGTTTACACAAACCTCTCTGCTGCAGATAGTCAGGAACTGATAGCGCTGGGAGTAAATAATGACAATGGGGAACCAGCCCCACCGAGGGGGGGCACAGAGGAACAAAGCCCAGCCTGCAGCTCGGGGTGAGTTGTTAGAGCCGTGCAGTGACCCATGAAAGCTCTGCAGGGGGGGTTGAGGGATGCAGGAAGGCTGAGGAAGAGACCTGTGGCTGTAGCTCCAGGCTTGCAGGAGAAAAAAGCCTCAGGTTTATTCCACGTGCTCAATGCAACAAGGCTCTCTGTCAAGGGTAAACCCTGGGATGGCATTTGCAGTTTTCCATGCCTACAACATCCCAGTGATACTGCCACCCAGGCAGGGCCATTTGGTGCAGCTGGGAGGGTCACACCAAAGGCAGTGAGCCCAGCAGAGACCAAAGTTCATCAGGGGGGTCCAGCTGGGACTGAGTTCTTCTTTGCCCAGACACACACAAGAGGCAAAATAAATAAAGGCAACACTCCAGTGTTGCAAAGCACAGCCCTGCTCACTCACAGGGACGGAGATGCTGGAGAGCAAACAGCACCCACAGTGTGACCTTTGTGGGTCAAGCCACCCCAGGGCTACCCACTCCCCTGGGAACCGATGCTCCCCACCCCACGGAGAGCATCACACCCAGCTCACCCAGGGTGAGGTTCAGCACGGCGAAGCTCAGCAGGGGCAGCCTTCCTCCTTGCCCACCCACATCCAGAGCCAGCACCCTCCCCTCCCCACATGGGAACAGATCCCTGCACCGGCGGCTGCAGGTGACAGCGGGAAACTCTGCCGAGTGACGGCCGAAGGCGGCTGGAGACGCTTCCTTGTTCCCAGAAGCAGGGAGGGGAGACAAAGGCGGGCATTCCCCCTCTCCCGGGGGCCGGTGCTCCGCCGGTGTCCCCGGCGCGGGGAGAGGGGGACGGTACCTGACGCTAAGGCCACGCCCTTTATCCGGAGGCCACGCCCACTGCCACGCCCAGGGTTGTATAACAGCGGGAGAGCCGCGTGGCTGCCAGGTAGGGAACTGTATCCCTAGTCCCCTGTTCCGGGCAGGCCACCAGGGACCGGGAGCGAGCCGGGAAGCGGGATGAGCAGGGAAGCAGCATTCCCCGCGCTCGGGGGGCGGCCCGGGAAGAGGGGTTGGAAAGGCAGCGGGAGCTCAGTTCGGTTCCGTTTCCCTTCGCAGCGGCAACCACGTTGCTCCGGGCTGTGCTGAGGATGCGGCGGGGGCAAGGGAAGCGAAAGGCCGAGCCCACGGAGCTGCCGGGCGGGTCTCGGAGGAGGAAGGAGGAAGAGGAGGCGGTGCGGGAGGCCCGGGGGAGGGCGGCCCCGTCCGTGCGGGAGTTCAAGTACAACAAAAAGCGGGTTCGCCTCGTCTCGCAGGGCTCGGACCTTAAGGATGATGCTCGGTGCATCCTTTACTGGATGTCCCGAGACCAGCGGGTGCAAGGTGGGAACCAGCTGGCGGAGGGGTCCGGAAAGCAAAGCTCCCATGGGTGGCCTTGGTCCCTCCCCATGGCAGCCCTTGGAGCTGGTGTCTCCTCTGCAGGGGGAACTGGAGGGAATCCTCTTGCAAAACCCCATCTCCTTCCCTCCAGCAAAGCATCCTCCCTAACACAGCCATGTGCACTTTGTCCCCAGACAACTGGGCTTTCCTCTACGCCCAGCGCCTGGCCCTCAAGCAGGAGCTGCCTCTGCACGTCTGCTTCTGCCTCGTGCCCAGATTCCTAGATGCCACCATCCGCCACTACGGCTTCATGCTGAGGGGCCTGCAGGAGGTGGCCAAGGTACAACTGTTGTGGGGATGTTTGCAGTGAGTAGAACGGGGCTTCTGGCAAAGGGGGGGAAGCAGATCCATCCCTTCAGTGGATGGTGGTGGGATGGGGTCTGCAGAGGCATGAGCCACCCCATTGTCCTTTCCTCCTCTCTGCAGGAGTGCACAGAGCTGAACATCCCCTTCCACTTGCTGCTGGGCTATGCCAAGGACGTGCTGCCCACCTTTGTGGCAGAGCATGGTGTGGGTGGGCTGGTGACAGACTTCTGCCCCCTCCGTGTCCCCCGGCAGTGGGTGGAAGACGTCAAGGAGCGGTTGCCATTGGATGTCCCGTTTGCACAGGTGGGTGCCCATGCCCTGGGAAGGGAAAACTCTAGCTGGTGAGACATGGGAGGAACTTGTCTCTTGTGTTTTGTGCCTGCAGAGGTAGTGCTGGAGTGACCTGAGAAGGCAGTGTGTGTATCATGTCATCAGGACTGTTTGCCTCTCTTCCTCATGCCCTCCTCCATGGCTTTGCTTCCCAGGTTGATGCCCACAACATTGTGCCATGCTGGGTCGCCTCCCCCAAGCAGGAGTACAGTGCCAGGACCATCAGGGGCAAGATCCATGCTCAGCTCCCAGAATTCCTCACCGAGTTCCCCCCCGTCATTCGTCACCCATATCCCCCCTCCTGCCCGGCAGAGGTACCAGCAGGGGACACCTTCACACCCACTTGCAGCCAGTCTCAGAGTTTCATAGTGGCTTTGTGATATGGGAATGGATGGCAGGGGATGGGGACAGCGACCTGCCTGAGGTCATACACAGGTTGTGTGCAGATCACGATGCCCTGGGGAAGTGAGGTTACCACTTCATTAAATCCCCACATATCTGCCATGCAGAGGGTAAGAGGGGGGGGAGGCTGCCATAAACTGGGAACTTGTTGTTGGGGGCATCCAGGGGACATAACACTCAGGGCAGCCCTGGCTGAGGAGCACCTGCAAAAGCACTCACACTGCTTGCTGGCTGCCCAGCCCATTGCGTGGGAGGCCTGTTATTCCAGCTTGCAGGTGGACCGCACCGTGAAGGAGGTGGAGTGGGCAACCCCCGGCACAGCTGCAGGGCTGGCTGTGCTGCAGTCCTTCATCAAGGAGCGGCTGAAATCCTTCGGGTCCCACCGAAATGACCCCAACAAGGCAGCACTCAGCAACCTGTCCCCATGGTTCCACTTTGGTGAGTATTCCAGGCTTCCAACTCTGCAGCAGGACCAAGCACGGTGGCTTGGGCCGACAAGACTGAGTTGCTCCCTCCCCATGTTCCCAGGCCAGATTTCCACCCAACGAGCCATCTTGGAGGTGCGGAAGCACCGGGACAAGTACAAGGAGTCAGTGGACGCGTTCATGGAGGAAGCCGTGGTGCGGCGGGAGCTGGCTGAAAACTTCTGCTACTACAATGAGAACTATGACAGCGTGCAAGGTAGCGTCCTGGGTCGGGTGGGCAACACTGGGGGCCAGGCTTGTACCCAACTGGTCACCCCAACTTGGCAATCCCATTTCTCCTAGGAGAGGGGCTGTGGGGGCACTAATGTGCTAGGGTTTTGGTAGCTTCTAGAGGAAGGACAGGAGGTGGTGGATGCCCTCTTCAAGGCTGGTGCCTCCAGGGCACAGTGCCCTCAGTAGCCCAATTCTCCATCTCTTCCTCAGGGCCCCGCAGGATTGGGTTGCTCAGCTTTGGTTCTCATCTTTCTTGCTCACAGGTGCCTACGACTGGGCGCAAACCACCCTGAATCTGCATGCCAAAGACAAGAGGCCTTTTCTCTACAAGCTGCAGGAGCTGGAGCAGGGGGCCACACATGACCCGCTCTGGAATGCTGCCCAGGTAGAGCCCCGCATCTCCCTTGCAAAATGCTGAACCTTTTCCCAAGGGGCAGAGGTGAGCTGTGCCTTTCCCCTCAGCTCCAAATGGTCCGGGAGGGCAAGATGCATGGCTTCCTACGGATGTACTGGGCCAAGAAGATCCTGGAGTGGACCCGCTCCCCCGAGGAGGCCCTGCAGTTTGCCATCTACCTCAATGACCGCTACGAGCTGGACGGGAGGGACCCCAACGGATACGTAGGCAAGCTGCAGGAGAGGAGCACGGGGAGAAGGGGTCTCATCTCTGATGGCCAAGGCTGCAGGAGGGTGGGGGGTGGAGGGCTCTCTGCAGACAACCCAGCCCGTGCTGCTTTGCACCCACATCCCACCTGCTCCCTGGAATGCCTCTGAGAAAAGGTGAGAGAGCTAACCCTCCTTCTCCATGCCTGGCAGGCTGCCTCTGGTCCATCTGTGGCATACACGACCAGGGTTGGGCAGAGCGGGCCATCTTCGGGAAGATCCGCTACATGAACTACGCCGGCTGCAAGCGCAAGTTCGACGTGGGCCAGTTCGAGCGCCGCTACGCTCCCTGCCCCCTGCCCCAGTGATGGGCACAGCCTGTCCTCATCCCCCCCTGTGCTGGGGCCAGACGTGCCTTTGCTGAGGTACCAGCTTGCACCTTACCCCTGGGCAGGGATCGCCCCGGGCGCTGTAATAAGGCTGGGGGTTCTGCAGGGCTCTTTTCCCTGCCATCACCCCCTTCCAGCCGCCGTGCTGGGGCAGCTGGTGCAGCCCCATGGGGCCATCCTGCTGCCATGAGTTTGCTGGCAGCTGAGAGCCCATCCTTGGCATGCCTGTGCCTGCCAGAAAGCTTTTCTACAGCCACTGTGCTCAGGAATAAGCCCTGATTTAGGTTTAGGCTGAGTGGGGCTTTTCTGGGGAAGAGCCTCCAGAAATGGGCTCCTCCTGCTGTGATGCCCATAGGGAAGCTTGGTGCTTGGTGCTGTGCTGGGCTTGCACACACACCCTGCAGCAGTTGTTTTAAAGTTTACGGTTTGTATCTCCTGTGCCTGTGGTGTTTATGGAGTGAGCAAAGGCAGGCCAAGGAATTACAGAGATGCCCTTACTCAGTGGCTGGTATCTCCTGTCCTGAGTGCAGAGGGCAGTTTGCAGGGGGAGGCCACAAACCAGGTGGATTAGTCAAGGGTTGGTGACAATATCCTCCTCCCAGTGACATCTGGTGCTGCATCACCAGTTGCACAGTTTTTCCCCCCCCACTGTCCCCTGCTGTCACCTGGTGCATCCCACTCCCTCCCTGCCCCGGGGACCACCAGGCACTGCAGCACTGACCCCAAGGGGGGGGATACAGCCCATTTCCCCTCCTGAAATGATGCCACAACACAACCAAGCCCCTTATTAACTTAGTTTATTAGGGACGGCATTTTCGTTGCTGTGCTGTGCAACGGTCCCATGGGGAGGGCTCCAGCTGAGAGCTGGGGCAGCCCCTCTCTCCCTTACAAAGAGCTCGCTGCCTTCGCCAGTTCGTGTTACTCACACCAGTCAGTGCTGGGCAGCAGTGTCAGTGCTGGGCACAACCCTGCCCTGGGGACCTCTGTCAGGTTTGCAAGTCCTGCTGCTTCCAGGTAAAGTCCATGGTGGAGGGTGAAAACCACAAATAAGCCAAAATTCTTTCCCTCTTCTCTAAATGTAGGAAGGGACGTGGGCAGCCTTTCTTGCTGCCCCATGACATTAAAGTGCTTTAAATAAGAGAGGGTGGACAAAGGTGTGGGCTGAGACAGCTCCAGGGAATGAGGGAGGTGCCAGATTCGGGCAGCAGCAGGAGGGCTTGGCTTGGGGTTAGGGACAGGCAAGACCAAGGCAGAGCAGTGTCTGGCAGCCCCAGGGCTTGCAGAGACAGAGAGCAAGTAGGAGAGCAGCTGCTGCCCTGGGGAAAACAAGCAGAAGCAAGACAGGAGGGAAAAACCCCAGGGGAGCAAGTGGGGAGCTGAACCCCCTTTCTCGAGCTAGACCTGGCTTGGTCAGGATGCTGCAGAGCAGGGGAGAAGTGCTGTTGTGCAGCAGCCCAGCCCCCAGCAGGGAGGCTTGCAGCAGCCCTCCCCGACCAAGCCCTGTGGCTACCTCTCCTGGTGCCCGCCTCTCCGTCATTCCCCAACCCGCCAC